CCAGGGTATCTTGGATGAACTCCCATCGAAGGAAGTCATGGGCCTTTTCGAGGTCGACCTTGATGACCATATGACCAGTGGCACCTTGTTTCCGGCGCATGGAGTGAAGTAGTTCGGGTGCCACGACAATATTGTCTATGATTTGACGGCCCGGGACGAAGCTAGCCTGAGCTGGGTGGATTAGACTAGGAAGCGAACTTTTCATCCGGTTAACGAACACCTTCGTGAACAATTTGTATATGACATTCAGTAAGCTTATCGGTCGGAATTGCTTTATGGTTGAAGGGTTGTCAACTTTGGGGATAAGAACCAGCAATGTCTGGTTAATCTCGCTCGGGAATTCACCCTCACGCCACATTTTACGAATGAACTCCCGAACTGATGGGCCCACAATGGACCAATTCTTCTTAAAGAAAAGAGCATTAAGGCCATCGAGTCCCGGCGCTTTTAAAGAACCCATCCCTTGAAGCGCCGAGAAAATTTCATCGTCCGATATCTCTACCTCTAGGGTCTGCATAGTCTCTTCAACACACTGTTGAAATAAGTTTGGCGCCACCTCATTCTCAGTCGGCGCCTGCCCTGCTGTGTAAATTTTTTGAAAAAGCGTTGTGGCTAGATGTTGAAGAGCATGTTGGTCAGTTATTATGTGGCCTGTATCATTCACCAACTCCAGGATCCTGCTCTTTCGTCGACGGAACTTAAGTTGTCGGTGAAAGTAGGAAGTGTTCCTATCACCCAAGTGCGACCAATCTCTCGTAGTTTTTTTGGAGATGAAGTAACTCTTCTTGGAGGATAACATCATAAAGTTCCAGGCGCAGTTGTCTTTCCAGCTCCATTAACTTTGTCGAGATATGATATCTATTACTCCATTGGATACCTCCAATTCTTGCGAGGAGCCGCCTTTTCTGCCTAAAAATGTTCCAGAAGACTGTGGCATTCCATTCCGTGGCCGTTTCTGTGAACTTCTGGGCCGCCTCATTGAAACTAAGCGCTGGTTGCCACGAGCCTTGGAGCATAGCTGGAAAGTCGGGATGAAGTTGCCACGATGCTAGAAACCGAAATGGTTTCACGGCCTGTGGCGCGAAGTTATGTTGACCGAAGGTGACCATCAACGGCGAGTGATCCGATTGAATGCGAGGCAGCAAACGCACCCGGCTTGTCTCGTATTTCTCCATCCAATCTAAATTTGCCACGAATCGATCAAGTCCCTCCATGACTCTACCAAACTGACCGTCCCTAGCCCACGTGAAAAGGTGTCCATCCGTCGCGACCTCTTGGATCCCGTTGGAGAACATCCAGTTCGCAAACTCAGGACTAGTATTACAAGAAGCTCGAGATCCCCCAACCTTTTCATAGAAATGTAGTAGGCAGTTGAAGTCCCCTCCAATAAGCCACGGTGTGGAGATGCCCGAGGCTAACCTCTCCAGTTCAGGCCAAAGGGTTCGTCTAATAGTAGCGTTGGGGCTAGCATAGATAAGTGAGACTAGGCTCTCCACGCCATCTTTGCTGACCTGGGCATGAATCAATTGTTTAGAAGAGTATAGAACCTCGATCGACACTTTATCCCTCCATAGCAGCCAGATGCCTCCCGAGAATCCCCTGGCTTCCACTCGAAAAGAATTCTCAAATCTGCTATAGCGCACGAACTTGTCAGCAGTTGCCCCACTGATCCGTGGTTCAAACAGTGCAACAACGTCTGGATTATGTTGTCGAACTAAAGTAGAGAAGGCTCCCTGGAATGCGGGCGAGCCAGCTCCTTGCACGTTCCAAGAGAATATTCATGGGAAACTGTACAGGTGGTAGGTTATTTGTAGCTTACTTTTTCTCTCTAGACCTTTGGAATTGGTTATTTGTAGCTTACTTTTTCTCTCTAGAGTTTTTTTTTTATTTTTTTTTCTCTCTAGAGTTTATTTGCTACTGATATTTTGGATTTCTTTTTAACAAACATGACATTATTTGAATAAATAATTTTTGTTTTTCTTTTAATTAAATAAAGGGCTCAAAATGTTATTAAGTTTTATTATTGCTAATGTCGGGGGCTATGTTGACAATCGACCTGATTAATTGAAATATAAGTGAAGATTAATTTTCATTCAACAAGATCGCTGCTCAAACTCGCTTGTACGTCCAACTTAACTTAACTCGATACAAGTTATACATCAAACCAACTTAATACATAATATATAAGCCGACTTCGGTTCAGAAGGCAACCGACCTCTCAAAGACCCCTCGGTAACCGACTCTTAAAGATTCCTTCTCGAAGGTTCGACCTGCAAACCGAGGTCCGACATGACCGAATCCCGAAGTAGATGACAAGGCGTCCGCATAATTGGACCACATGCTATATATGCAATCATTATTGTTCCCCATTGACCAGCAAATCGCTTCAAAAAGTTGTCCTACATTAAATGCGATCTTATCTAGCTATCTTGTACTAGAAATCAAACACCTACTACTATAAATAGAAGAATTTATTATTGTACGGGGACCCTCTTGGACACACATTTAATACATACATGCAATAAGCTCGATTTACATACATACCGACTTCCTATACTCGACAATTACTCAGAAATAATACAAAGTTTTCACTTTTTGTGCTTCAATTACATCGTGTTTTAGTTGTTAAATTCCATACAACAACAATTATAACACTTATTTTAAGATGAGGTTGAAGAAAATATATTCTAACATATAAATTGAAGTGTGGATATTTATGTGTGGGGGAGAGTGGATGTTATATGCAAGTTGCGCAGGGACCAAAGCATGTGGCCACCCTTTTTTCTATTTAATTTGGTTATCCAACATTTTGTTTTCAGTTGGCCCTTTTTCCCCTTTTTGGGCTCCACCTTGCATTTGCTTCAACAGTATGTGCATTTGTTAACATAAATGCTTTTTTGTTTTTTTCTTAGGAAGGATAACTATTATATAAATAAATTAAAAAAAACCAGTACAAATCCTAGACTATACTTTAACAAGGGAAAAATTAATAACTACAAATTAATAATATACTCCTTTTTTTCTTCCACGTGTAAGTAAAAATTGAGATTTTTATGTAATATTTTTCATCGTTCGACTCATTAAAATTCAAGTTTGACTCGTTGATATTGATATACAAGTTGAGTTGGAACTCATTTTGTTAACAACCCGACCTTGGCTCGGGTCGATAAAGGCTTGAGCTCAAGGTATTGGGAGCTCAAGTTTGGTTCGACTCGTTTATACCCTTATGTTAAATGAATAAATCTGCTTTTCTATTCGACTCGTTAAAGTTCAAGTACGTCTCAGTTCATTAAATAAACGAGTTGCACTCTAAGTTGTTTAGTTAACAATCGAGGCCGACTCTTTAGGCTCAATAAATATAAATTATTATGTAATGTTCAAAATTATTACCTTAATTAGGGTAATAAAATTTTGAGTTTGCCTTATTGATTTAGACAAATAAACTGATTTCGAGTTTGTTTTATCGATTCATGAACTGATCGGGCTGAAAAATGCTTTTGCTCGACTCGTCTGAATAAATGTTCGTGCTCGACATCACTCCTGTACAGCTAGTTTACATCTCTTTATATAATTTAGTTTGATGCGACGGTGATTTTGCAAATTCATTATTTTTTTATAGTAATGCAATAAGGTTGTATATAAGTAAACCACTTTCAACAATAGTACTGTGTGTAGGGCTTGATCAAATTGATAATGCGTGTATGAAGATTAGAACTTGAGACCTAATTTTACAAATTAACATCTCATTACTCAGTGGGTCACTAATGACACTTTAGTCTTCTCGTGAGTTATGAAGACTCCAAACATCTGTCTAAACTTCATGTCAAATTAATGCATTCTCAATGAATTTGAGTTGAAAATTGAAAGGGGGTGTCTATATGTACACCCCCTTGTGTGTAAAAAAGGGGTGTACATATAGCATTACTCTTTGTGTAATTTATTAAAAAAGGGTGTACATATAGCATTGCCCAATTGAAATCCTTTAGTTCTAATCAAACGAAATTTTTTCGAACACTTTTAGACAAATTAATAGTAATTAAAAGTGAATGATATCTATTATAAGGAGATGCTGCAATCTCGTTACAGAACCATTCTGCCAGAGTTTATAACCGTCAGATCATCATGTAACCGTCGAGAATAGTTGATCTAACGGTTACAAACCACAACAGAATAATTCTGTAACTGGACCGTAACATTTCTCGTACCAAATGGTCAACCACCACCTCAAATTTAATATCTACAATCCTACCAATTACCAACAAGAAACAGCCACTAAAATACCGAAACGTGGCACCAAATCCGTGGCGAGTACACAATCCTTATTCCTAAACGCGCGTGTGTACGCAGTGTGAGTTGGAAAAAGTCGCAAAAGTTACAAGAAAAAGCGCTCGCCTCGCTGGCTGGCCTCCACTCGCCACGTGTCATTCATTTCCATCCACAAGATTACCATGGATTTCTCTATCGTTCTACAGGAAAAGCCCCCCCTACTTCCCGTATATTACAATTTTACCCCGATGACGTGGCGCCCACATACCCCTTTTTCTTCAGCCCAACCATAAACCAAACCCACCGATTGGTTTTTTTTCTCCTTCACTTCACAATTTTCTCTCATCCCTTTGATTGAGTTCATCTTTTGTTCTCTATCTGTTTATCTCGTCGCTTGTTTTTGTGTTAAAGATCCAATCTTTGAGGAGTTACCCTCCATTTTCAGCTCCTTTGTCTGCATACGAGCAGCTAATTTTCAAGTGTTTTTGTTTGTTCTCTGTAGTTTTTTCTTGGAACATAATAGTTTCTGTAGCAGGCCCTGTTCTTGTTTTTTTCTCTCCAGATAGTTGGGTTTGTTCTGCTCTCTGGATCGATTTCGAAAAGGTTTCGATTTTCTTTAATGGAGAGAGGAAAAATCTCGGATAGAGGAGATTGATTTATTTTTTTTTCTGGGATTCCGAGGTTCATTGGATTGAAGACAGTGTTTTTCGGGGATATTGATGATTTCGACAACTATGGCTGTACAGGTAAAAAAAACTTAGGTCGATGAATTTGTGTCCTTAAACAAAGGTTTCAGGTCAATTTGAGTGGACCCCACATCTGTATTATTCTTGTTAATTGAAGTATTTGAAAGAGTCTTGTGGGATGGAGGAGAGATCTTACAAGAGCAGAAACCTTTTCTACTGTGAATTATATCATGAAATTTGTGGATTAGTTTTGCCTTTTTATATTGTTTTATCTTTGTCTTTATGAATTTGTTGGCAGATGAGAGAGAACATGGATCATGGGTTCTGTTTGATTGATGATATTTAGTGGCTCTGAGGGTTTTCCATATATGTTGTTCAGCAAATTTGTTTTCCTGTTTGGTGATGTACTTCGAAAAGATATGATCGAGACCTCGAAATCACTAAGAAATTTCTGTGGATTTATGATGTATATCACAATAGTACAGAAACTTGTTTAAGTTTTGAAGTGTTTTTGTCAATTGGCATGTCTTAAATTGTGCCATTGAAGGCAATTTCGGATACGAAGCGAACGATATCGTTCGTGGTCGGTATTGAGTTGACTAACATTTTTTAGTACAAGTCATTGAGTTATGCAATTATATGGGTTCGAGTTGTTAGAACACGAATAAATATTTACTAGATTTTACCAACTTGAAAAAGAAACCAACTTGCTTTCTGGAATTAGCTTCTTAAACAGTTAGTGTTCTGCTGCAGGAGGCACATGGATGCAGGGGATTAGACTCTCCTTTGCCGACAAGTGGCAATACTTCATTGGACATGAGTACAACTGTGATTAAGGATACCGAGTCAAAGGAACAGCTTGATAATCCTGGGGATGACTTTGCTCCAAAGGTTTAATCCGCTCTATAATTGTTCGATTATAGGGAGTCAGTGGAGTGATATTTCAACTCACCTTTGTATTTTTCTTTTCCCTTTTCTGTATTTATTCATATAGGCGAGGAAGCCGTACACAATCTCTAAGCAAAGAGAGAGGTGGACTGAGGAAGAGCACAACAAATTTCTGGAAGCATTGAAACTGTACGGCAGGGCCTGGAGAAGAATCGAAGGTAGTTATTTTTTTTTTCTGAAGGACTGCCTAAATTTGTATATTTAATGTTGTCCTGAGACGATATTCCTCATTTTTCTCAGAGCACGTGGGCACAAAAACTGCAGTCCAAATTCGAAGCCATGCTCAAAAATTTTTCTCCAAGGTCTGTAATTCTTATACATGTAACATTATTCGCCATTATATCTATTATGCCGCCTTTTCCAATAAGTCATATATATTTTATGACACTCGGGGGTGCATTGAATACCATTTTCGTTAATATAGGAAGCTTCCATTGCAACAACGAATATATTATATTTAATACCTTTAACATGAACTTTTGCTTTTGTTCAGGTCGCTCGTGAGACAAATATTGGTGATGGCAATTCCATGAAGTGGATCGAGATTCCACCGCCTAGGCCTAAGAGGAGACCCATGCACCCTTATCCTCGTAAGATGGTTTATCAAGCCAAAACTGAAATTTCGATACCCGAAAAATTTTCGAATGCCATGGAGCAAGAGAACCAGTCCCCGACTTCTGTTTTGTCTGGAATTTGCTCGGACTCATCAGTCTCGTCTGAAGTTCCTAAACTCGTGTTGGAAGATGTTGTGATGTCCCTTTTGCCCGAGCGAGAAAACGATGATTCGAGTACAGATGAGAGGATAGATATTATGGTAAGAAATACCTCCATACCTTTTTAGCAGCATCCGAGAATGCTTCAATGTTTGATATTCAAATTCATGCTTTTGTTTGCTGAACAGGAATTGGGTCTTTCTTCCCGAAACAGCACTTCTGCTGTGGAAGACTCGAACGAGTCTCCCACACAAAAAAGCTTGAAGCTTTTTGGTAAGACGTTATTAATCATGGACCCGAACAGGCCATCTGATCCCGTCCCAAAAACTTGCAAGCTCGAATTATTTTCAGACAAAAGTGAGGAAAATTGTTCAACTCAGTGGGGTGTCTTGCCTGTAAATCTTACCAATGGTGATTGTATTTGGGGTGTTTTTACACATCCGAATTCTTTTCCTTGGTTGACCCTATGTAGTAACAATGCATTCGGGCCAAACCCGGAAGTGCACAGCCCGACTCCAATAAGAGCCCGATCGTTGTGTGATAATAATAACAATAAGGAAAACCCGGGTGATAATGAGAAAGAGGGTTCATTCACAGGTTCGTGTACTACTAATTTTAATTTACCCGACGAGCCTTTCGCCTTTGAACAGAAAGGAGAGGGGAAATCTTTCTCATCCCACAAATCAAGAAAGAAGAGGATTTCGGGCTTCATGCCTTACAAAAGGTGTTCGGCCGAGCAGCATTCGACCCTTTTACTGGCCGAAAGCGGCGAGGAAAGGGAGACACGGCGTGTTCGCCTCTGCTTGTGACAGGTGGCGAGTCGTTGAGGTTCGATAGCTGCTAACCCTGTAATGAAAGGCTTGGTAATGGCGAACTTATCGGGCTGTTCGGTCTTGCAAACTTAGTATAATTCTTTTTCTTCTTTCTTTTGCCTTTCGGGTTTGTTAAAAGTGTTTTTGTCTTGTGTTAACCGTTGAAATGTATTTTTTTTTTTGTCTGACCTCTTTACAAACTGTGTAGTTCTTGTGTAAACTGCTTCCTTTTCGGTCATGTAAAGTGTATCTGTCGGTTTATGGAAGGGTTTCGATTCGAAAGTATAAGTCTGGTCTGGATTGTACGTGGCGGGAGTCGAATAGCATGTAAATTAATGTTCAATGAAATTATGTTGCATAGTTTTGAGATATAACATCGTCAATAAAAAGAGAGATTACGCATCTGCAAAAATCATCAGTATTCAGTGCCATTTGAAATTAGATGGTTGAGTTATGGCGTATAGTGCTACAACAAGTAGTAGTTCCAAAAGATCCAGTCAAAACACAATTAGGGCTCCTTGTAAAGCACCTCTTATATTATATGCGTGCATTTCAAGCTTCCAATCAAAAGTGAAAGAAGTGCAAATTTCCACATGACAAAAAGAGTATCTATCATCGCTCAACGATCAACCGCGAATTGATCAAGCTAGTCAAGTCCATGTTTTGAATTGTGTCAACTAAACTAGTGAATTCTGTTCAGTGCCTATGCTAGGGTTTGAGCCGTCAGATCAAAAGGAGTGTGTTGATCTCACGGACGTAGACATAAGTGTCGAATCTTCCCTACTAAGCCTAAGAAGCTTAACCTTTTCAAGGGATACATCAATTTTAAGAATTTGATGATAAGTTTTAAGAATCATAGAGGAACAAAAGGAAAACAAATGTTTTGTATAAAGACTTCATGATTGGGTAGACAAGGCCTAGAATGTATGATCTAGAAAAGGATTAACCTTGCTTGAGGCTTAATAAAGTTGAATCAAGTAAACACATTAAAAACGCCAATCGCAACATTCTTTGTGCATATGAGTCATGTCAAAGAGTACATAAAAGGGAGAAGTCGACCCTAGCAGTGACTTGCATTACTGACATCAAATTTTTTTTTACCGTTGAAAAATTTAGTGACGGCATATCAACCACATAAAAGAAATATGTCTTTATCTTATTTAACTTTTTGTCCGTTATTATTTTGATTGATGTTGATTAGTCGATTTCGAATGTTTATATGTGGCTCATCAAATTCTTTCTGCTAGCTAGAAGATAATAGAATCTTAGAAAAGGAGTCTAATGTGGCAAGAAACTAAGAGTAATGTAAATCTTCAATACCCTAGAACATCATAACATTCAGTGACTTAATGAAGACGAACAAATCACACAAAAAATGGTCGATATGATGACAATATGTAAGTGTGTAGAAAAAAAAAAAAATATAACTTACTTTTTTAAAATGCAAAATTTGATGACAACCAATTTTTACGTTCATAAAGAGTCACAATGACTACTTTTAGCCATTCTTATTAGACAAGTTGTTACCTTTATTATAAAAATAATCTTATTAGCCACGTTGTTACCTTAACAAGCGAGCTTGAGCTCAAATTTTGGCTCGTTTATTTAACGAGCCGAGCTCGGCTCGGCTCGTGAAGAGCTCGAGCTCAAACACCTTAAGCTCGAGCTCGGCTTGGCTCGTTGATAGCTTTATAAAGTATTAGTTCCATAAGATCCAGTCAAAACAATTAGGGCTCCTTGTAAAGGTTCTTAGCACCTCTTATATTATATGCATGCATTTCAAGCTTTGAATAAAAAGTGAAAGAAGTGCAAGTTTCCACATGACACAAAGAGTAACTATCATCACTAAAAGTTTTATCTAGTCTCTCGACCGTGAATTGATCTAGCTAGTCAAGTCTATGATTTAAGTCGTGTGAACTAAGCATGTGAATTTTAGTCAATGCCTACAACAGGGTTTGAGCCGTCAGATCAATACAAGTGTGTTGATCTCACGGCTCAGACATAAGTGTCGAATCTTCCCAACCAAGTCTGGAAGCTTAACCTTTTCAGAGGGATACATTAATTTTAAGAATTTGATGATAAGTTTTAAGAATGATAGAGGAACAAAAGGAAATCAAATGTCTTTTATAGACTTCATGGTTCATGATTGGGTAGACAAGACCTAGAATCTATGATCTAGACAAAGGGTTAACCTTGCTTGAGGCTTAAATAAGATAAATCAAGTAAACACATTAAAAACACCAATCTCAATATTCTTTGTGCATGAGTCATGTCAAAGATTACATAAAAGAGAGAAATCGACCATATCAGTGACTTGCATTACAAACATCAATTTTTTTACCGTTGAAAATTTAGTGACTACAGATCAACCACATAAAAGAAATACGTTTTTATCTGATTTAACTTTGTCTGTTATTATTTTAATTGATGTTGATTAGTCTATTTCGATTGTTTCTTAGCGGCTCATCAAATTCTATTTGCTAGCTAAAAGCTAATAGAATTTTGGAAAAAGAGTCTAATAACGCAAGAAAACTAAAAAGAGTAATGTCAATCTGCAATAGTCCCGCTCACCTGCCCACCACTTTTTTTTTACATGAAAAACGTATTTTGAGAATACGTTTTTCATATAAAAAAAAATGGTGGACACTGCCCACCGTGGGCAGGTGAGCGGAATCACAATCTGCAATACCCTAGAGCATCATTACATTTATTGACAAATGGAGACGAAAAAATCACACAAAAAATGGTCGATATGATGACAATATGTAAATCTATAGAAAAACTAGTATGATTTATTTTTTGTAAAAATGTAAAATTTGGTGGCAATCAATTTATGTACATAAGAGTCGTAATGACTACTATACCAGCTAATTTAGCGTCTTTCGCAGCCCAAGGTCCGGGCGGGCTACACAGGTTGGAACACCCTCCGCCAGGGGCCAGCATGTGGTTACTCCATGATCGGATGGGAGTGTCTCATCGGCGTTCGGTTACCATCT